CAAAATGTTTGTCCACTACTCCGCTTGTCTAAACTTTAAATACGTATAACTCATAAGCTACTCGTCCTAAATTCGATTTTTATGAATCAAAATAYTTAGAAAAATATTCTGCTTWGGAATATGAAATTAAAACTYTATGTTGTCATTCAAAAAAGTAAAAAACTTAATATTTAAAAATATTTAAAAATACAATTTTTTAATAAAAACGTTGGTGTTTTAACAACTTGAAACCATGTAGACAAATATTTTGAAAAAAGTAAATACTTTTCGAGATAATTAGTGCACCCATTTAAAAGAATCACCCTGTATATGCCAAAAACAGTTCAATACGTTTAATATCCCTTTTATAAATTAATTTAGATAGTAAATTTAATTAAAATAGTGCAATTACCTTTGTATCAATTATACGTGAAATTTAATACTCAATAAAATAAATTTTATACCTATATAAAAGCATAAATCATGATATAAACATATTTCCCCTCATCCAAAACTTCTCTTCACCAACAATCTCGGGTGACCCTGACCGGCGTTTAAAACATAGGTGGTGACGTGATCTATTAGTGGACTAGTTAACTAGCCYACTAATTACAACTATCTCGCCATAAAGTGCTGTTACTGAATAGCTTCTTCAACCAAGCCAACTACGACTTTCTATACAACCCTCCATTGTGCTTATTGTAAATTTCTGTTACAGATTGTACAAATTAAAATAAATATGTTTAAAGAAAGAAAAAAACATATCTCAATTTTATAAATTAAATTTTTTAATATCCCAAGGTAATAATATAATAAATAGGTATTATGTATTGTATAATACGCCTAAAGTATCCCAAGAGTATAAAACATAATTGCATAAGGGTATTTATACTAAGTGTTAATTTACTACTGTAAATTAAGAATATATTACATATATTTACTTACAAGTAAAAAGGCATATACATATCCGAATGCTATAATCCCATACTGCAGGATGGTTAAAAGGACCGTAGTATTTTTCAAGATCACTATAGAGAATTACGGCTGCAGGGTAAAACTGAAGTGCATATGAGCAAGCTATACCCAATATCATCATGAGTATTACAAATTGTGTTAATCTGTTGAAAAAAATACTAAACACTTACAACTGCATATTACGATGAAGTTATTTAGTTATAAGCTCACATATATGTTGAAGTAGGTACCACAAATTTCATATACATACCCCTTAAACATACGTATCAAAGTCCAAAAAATAGACTATTATACTACATTATTTAGTTGATTTATTGACTCACTCGTGATCATATGGCAAATTCAATGTTAGACTGCTTTTTACTTCTTCTCCCCATTTCGAATAGCCAGTCATGCCCAAAGGTACATTTAACATCATTACAGATACCATACCAAAATTCAAGACTCCAAAACACGATGTAAATTTTTTATCATCTTCTATCTCCGCAAAAAGAGGTAAAACCTGTATAGATAATGTAATAATTATACATTTTGGACATAATTATATCATTGTATTAAAATATTGCTATGAAAAACCGTTTTAATTTTAAAACTATGTGCATACTATATGTATTGTCTAAAATAATAAYATATATAATTACTATAGTTATTATTATTCACCGTTTTTAATATATAATTGGAAAACTATATAGATATAATATAATTTTCAAATAGTTTTATTATATTATAATATGAAATGTAAAATGCGTTTGAATACACGGGTGTAGGATAATTGCCTATCATATGCGCCGTTTTACAATGTATATAATATTTTACATATTATAAGTTGCTAAATGATATTATAATTATTAATATGCCGAATGCTGATAAATTATATCTGACATGAAAGAATAAAGCATTAAATATTTAACATCAATCAAATTTTATTTTTCCGTTCTTTACGTATATTTTAAATATCTAATGAACTTTTGTTAATACATCTATATATTCATATACTTTTTTTCTTTATTTGAAATATGCTATCTATACCTAAGAGTCACAATAAGTACATGTGTTAAAATATTCATATACAAGCAATAAAATACAAGAATGATTCTTCAAAACTAGTTCTCCTTCAAAACCACCAATTAATGGATTCGAATATGATTTTCACAAGTGGGATATATCGTAGCTCTACCCTACAGCAAGGTTTATATATAGTTTTAATCCTGTCCCCAGAAGATTACATCATGAAATAGAAATACGCCCGTGGTTTTTTCGGTGAATTAAAAATAATAAATATTCTATAGATAGACGAAAACACGACGAATCGTGTTAAAAATCTTTGTTATTTACATTTGATATTCATATTTGTTCCTGAGTAAAGTACACCTAAATCGATTTGCTTACCTGGGTCGAATTCGTACCTCACACAGACATGCGTGTGATTTGACTATTGAGATATAAACTTAACTCAAAATACACAGGATAGATACCTAATTTTATATTTATCAATTTTCCCTGGTGAGATGATGCAATACAAATAACATTTTATAATTGGACATTTATAATTGTCTTTTTTTTTTACAAACAT